TCTAGTTGTGGTCGCTGATACTTTTTATATCCGACTAACGGTCGTCCGACATCGACCAACTCACTGAGCGATATTCGACTCCCCCACATCGTTACTATTATGTACTCCTACTTATTATTAACGTGGAAGAGTCCGAGCTAACTAAAAGAATAGTTGTGTTCCACTATAACACAAACTGAATGTATAAAAAGTCGGTTTACATAAAGAGACTGATGATCTCGGCGTAATAGATGGCCGAGCAGGTTATTGGAGAAATAGGCATCAAATTTTAAAAGCTAGAACAGTCAGGCTGGAAAGAGACCGACTCACTGAAGGATAAATATTCCGATAATAACTCTAAAATTTTCAGGCTTCATTTCATTTAAAATGTACGAAACATAGAATATTCTAGAAATCACCAGTGTTTCTGGGTGTAGCATTCTTGTTCACAAGAATGGTGCAAAGAATAATTTAAATCTTTTGCATAAGATTTCTAAACAAATTCAACTACGCAAGTATATTGACACATCTCTGAAGCAAATTGAATTCTCCAGCTTTCTTGAGCTGATATTCAGCTATCTCCTCATAAATTTAACACCTTAAGTCTATATTTCTTCCATCATGCTATAATCTAATAACTATATATTATATATATATCTCATATATATATTCTTTCAGAAAAACAATATGGCCTTCGTTTCTCTACATCGAACGCTGACGTGTTAAATTTATTTACTGAAAGAGTCTGTCCAGTTTATTAATAATTTCGAAACTGGGGATTTGTTTTCTCCAAAATATTTTACCATACTTGTCAAATTCACTTAATCAATTATGGTATTTCTGGGTGAATTTACTCTTCAATCTTTCTTATCTAATCCCGAAATGGAAGTTGTCGTGAACATGAAACTCTTCTAGATCTTCTTGCAACGCTATAGTAATGGATAGCGGCTTGGTGAAAAATCCAGGCTTGATTTTGAATTCCAGTCAATCCATTAATTCAAGCTTAGTAGTTCCCTTGGGAAATATATGAATTTCATCCTCCCCAGAAATGGGTAAATAGCAGAACAGATCGGGTTCTATAGCTGTTTTTATGGCCTTTTCTAATGCAGAAAGGAAATGGTAAAAAAGCGGTTAAAAAATCAGTCGTCAGTCGTGTATTTAAAGATACATGTTGGTCTATTCATTCTTTACTGAGGGTAATTTGACTGAAAGCTCAAAGTTGAGAAATGAGACCGAATATTGAACCCCCAGATATGACAAAATATCCTGGATCCAGGTTCTATAGCCTTGGGTAAAAAAACTGGTTTACCTGTTAAAAAAAATTAAAACCTTATTCATGAATAATGACTCGTCAGTCATATATCGAATACGAAATTTAGTTTTTCGCTTTTTGTAATGGCATATAATCAATATTGAGTTGACGTGCTAAAAAACATTTTACGAAGGTAAGAAATCATTCAGTAGTTCTATAACATTAGTAAATAGCAGGACAGACTGTGTTCTATAGCCTTCTGACCATGAGATGGTCTGATGAAGAAAGAAATGGCGCCCTATTTGGGAAAACATTCTGCCTCTTCAGTCATGTATCGAAAGATACATGATCGCCCCCAGCGTATCATGCATGGCATATAAGTGCCTGTGACATATTTTTGTTCCTAATTTTCATCAACGTCGATACCGAAGTCAGCAATCTTCGCATCATTCTCTATACTGATGATAAAGCTAATTTGAACTGTCTTAATTTAAATTACGCTGGTCGGTTCGATAAGATCAAAACTGGCATCTGATCTCAGAAATAACCTCCAATCGGTTGCTAACAGGCAAGCTTATCAATTTAAAAGCCTCCAAAACGCCTGAGCAAGTCTCTTAATCAATTGAGGATTTTCTACCGTCCATCAAAATGACTGATGGTAACCTCCGAATACGACTTTCCGTGTTCTCAAATAGTAGTTCTAATGTTAACCTAGACGCAATCGAACATACAGACTAAGAACAGTTTAACGCCTTTGAAATGACACTGACTTCATTGTTCACTTTCATGTATATATATATATATATATATATATATAAATATATATATATATAAACATTAGAGGCAACATATAATCTATCACATATAAGAATCAATCAAACAGCGAAACAGTTGTCTGATTGATTCTGTTATATATATATATATATATATATATATATATATATATATATATATATATATATATATATATATAGGATAGAATCCATTCTAGGGCACAATGTCCAGGACAAAGTAAGAATCCCTATTACATGCGCTTGGCAGGCGCATTTGTGTGTTTATTCAACAACGACAAAATAAAAGACCTTCGACGGATTTATACCAAAACTTATATGCAGACCTTAGTTACAGTTTCTGGGAAACCGACATTGTTATCTCGTAATCAACGATATTTGAAATAATCCATTTTTCAATTTCTCGGTCACGATGAGTTTCACGGCCATTTTGTAATGGCTATCGACGGAATCAAGAGCCTATAGCTGGCTACTCATTCAAAAGGCTTGTATCAACCCCTTATATGGTTTCGTTATAATTTCAGCTGAAGACACGAATGTTAATCGACCCCTCTAGTCCAATAACATCAAAAGGTTCCTTACTGACAGATTCGTCACAATTAGAGAAAAATTTAAATTCCATGTCAGTTCATTACATCCAGTTACATGCAAATTCACTTGCAAAAGGTAACGTTGAAATCCATCTCTTTTTTGGCCGCAGATGGGTTAAATATTCACATTCTTTTCTATTTTATTTTTCCATATATATATATATATATATATATATATATATATATATTCATATATATTTTATTATTTTTCGAAATATATTTAATGTATATATATATATATATATAAAATATATATATATACAAATAATTATATATGGAAGGCATAATATTATATTAACTAGAACTGAAGAACACCTATATATCAATAGAAAAATATTTTAAACTGAAATATAGATTGCATATAAATCGATAAAACTGAAGATATCTAGATAGATATGTAAAATACTGATCTACAAAAACTAGATGAATATTATAGAATATTATATATATATAATATATTCATATGTCCAACCCTTACCTCACAGTCGGTGGGGGGGTGTAAACGGTAGTGTCAGAGCTATGCCGTCCGGAACTTCGTTCCTGGTAGGGCCACCCAAGGCGGACAGGTCTGACACACACGCCGGCTAACAAGGGCTCTGGTGAAAATCCAAGGAGCGTCTGCATCGGTAACCGGCGGCTTCTGGTCGTTCCTGTCTCTGCGTCTGTGGGAACCCCGCGGCAAGCAAGAACGTTATCCGAGTAGGCCTGGGTACCCTACTTCTGTAATTTATCCCAAGAATCTTCTTCTCATAACAGGAAGAAGCCGGCTCAATCCGCCCAGGGTGAATGCCGCATCAGTACAGTAGTAAATATATATATATTTATAAATATAAGTGCCCTTTATAGAAATATCTCCAACGAATTAAATATATTCCTTTGTTGGTTAGCATTTAAACTCGCTTTTAAATTTTTTGACACTACACATCTTCGAAAACTGATTTAAAACATTTTTGACAACATTCAAAATTTATGGGGATTTGAATGATAATTCCGTAAAATTCCGTTGTCGAAAATTTTTTTTTACTTTTAACATGAAAAGCGCCTTTTTTACCCAGAACTTTCTGTCAAAATTTTTGAAGAAGATTTTAACACGTTAAAACATTCCAACCTGTTAAACAAAATCAATGATGGAATCTCTAAGGGCATTTTTAAATGTCTATAATTGGATTAACTCAAGCCATTTAAATATAATAATATTTTCCTTATTTCAAAAAAAATTCATATTTAAAATATTTCATGTGTGACTATTTCAAGAGAATAGTTTGAACTTTTTCCTTCAGGATCTTATATTTCATACGTGTTCATCGTTTTCTGAATTTATTTTATCCACTATGTAAACAATACAAATTACAGATTATCATCCTGTTTGTCCGTTGAAATTCTTTGATAATGTTTGTTCATACATTTTTTATAATGGCAAATAAATTTCAAAGTTTATATATATATTGAAAAATAATGGATAAATATTTGAATTTGGTGTTTCTCTTAATGAAATGTTAAAACTTATATATTTTTAAAATTTATTTAAAATAAATTTTACCAAAAATCTATATTATTTAAAATTAAACATTTAAATTAATATATAATATATATATATATATATTTATATATATATATATATTTTTTGTATTTTTATATCTCAATTTTAGTTAGTTTGTCTTTTTGAAATAATATATAGAAGTTTTGTCTATTTATTTTATTAAAAAATTATATTTTCTGATAATTTAAAAATTATCATTGAAACACACAAAAATCACATAATTTGATACATGCATTTCAATATAAATTTTTCACATATATATATTATATAAATAATATATATTATATTTTTCAATATATAGAAATGTACATATAAAACAATACTTGAGTATATTTTTTATTGCATGAAAAATTTCAAAATAACGACAAACTTATCCACCTTTCGTTAATAAATCAATCATCTAAAAGCTTTTGACGTTATTTATATTCATGACCACGCGAAATATGTTAATTTTTTTTCATTCCGAAAATATTAATCTTTTTTATTTAATGCTAACGTTTTCCCATAAAATAATTATTTTTTTTCTTTATTATTTAATTTGAATTTTTAATCATTTTTTCTATATATATATATATTATATATATATATATATATATATATATATATAATTTTGAAAAAGTCTCTGCATGTTCAAAAAAAACAATTTAAACATAAAGGCTTTTTCTTTAACGTTTTTTTTAAACTCTTTTTTCATATTTTCAAAATTTTTGGTCTAATTTAACTCTACCACAAACTTTTTTATAATTATATATATATATATATGTTTTATATAAGGAAGATTTGAACAGACTTAATAATATTTTCTCTCCCTTGAATATATTTCATGTAAGAAAAAATAATAAATAAACTTAGATACGTCTGACGTTGAACAAACAAAGAATCAACAGACCTTTATAATAAACAGGGATTAGATAGATAGATAGATAGATAGATAGATAGATCTTTTATATATTTTTCCTGAAACAGAGCTGACACAATTTGAAATTTTTAGAACTTCTAAAATGTTTTCTTTATGATGTTCTATCATCTAACTGATCCTTTCTTTCGTCATATTCAAAAAAAATTACATTGCATAAATTATTGTATAAAAATAAATAATTTAAATATTAATTTATAAATTTAATCAAAAAATCGAAAACGTCAGATTTTCTTATTTAATTTTGTTTTCCATTTTAAAATTGCTTTAACCAACCGTTTTGATTTTGATATACTCATATTTTGAAAAGATATATTTTTTTTTGAGAATATACTATCATAATCAATATATAATGATGATATTGCTTGTTCTTGTATATAAAAAAATATTCAAAACACTTACATTCACCTTTTAAACAAAATAACAAAACGTTTTTTCATATAAATTTTTTAAATATTATATATATATATTTATTATTATCTAACGTTTGGCAATCAATTCAGTATCTATTATTTTAAGAACCGTATTTTTATACATTATTTTTATTATACAGAATATTTAAGAATAAAAATGTTTTATGTCAAAGCATATTACAAAAAAAAAAAAACCGGCCTTGAATACCATGTGGTCAATGAAATGAACTGAACCCTTTACAGGATTTTGAAAAAATTCTATAGCCAAATATTTAATACCGTATGAAAATTTCTAACCTAAACATCTCAAAGGAATATTTGGGTATTATTGAACTCGATTTTCAAGATGGGTCATGTCACTTTTTAACGCCTTTATCCACTGTGCCAAATTTTCTTGAGGACAAGTGCAATTGAATTTTGAAATTATAAACCACTGTTTATTATAAACACACCTGTTTTACCAAAATATATTGTATTTTGCTGTTAATTATTGTCATAAAACCAATTAATAATATATATATATATATATTGTTATATATATATATATATAAATATATATATATATATTCCCATATTGTATTTGAAATTGCTTGATCAAAACAGGAATTTTTTGTGGCCTTTAAATGCTGTTTTAAATTTAAATGAAATATAATATTTCTTATATCTAAGTCTAATTGAAAAAAAAAATTCAATCCTTCTCAAAAATTCTCTCCATAAATAATTTTCAAGCATGCTTTTTTTAAATCCAAAATTGTCAACCTGATTTCTAATGTACTTATTTTATCAAATGACTATCAAAGGCAGTGGAGAAATCTTGGAATGTGTTTATTAAACAATAAACATAAAGACACATTTTTTTAAACATATTTGGAACTTCAAAAATAAAATTATATAAATAAAATTTCAAGTTCGAAATAGTCTGGAAATAAATATAAAATTACTGAAAAAATTTTCTATTTTTTTATATTATATATATATATATATATATATATATATATATATATATATTTTTAATACCTAACTATTTTATTTTGTCTTGAATTTGTGTGTTGTAAAAAATATATAAACAGAAATAAAATAGTCCAATCGAAAAAAATAAGAGTTTCCTCATCTCATGAAAAATAGACAGGTTTACATTAATTCTAATAATGCAAAAATTATATTAATAAATATTTTTTGATGAGAACTATTGTTAATCCAAAAATTATCTTTTAAAAAATTTATTTATTTGACATGTTTATATGGACTGTTTTTTTAAAAACTAAAATAACCAATTTTTCAACAACACATTTTGTTAATTTTTCTGCTATTTATATATTATATATATATATATATATATATTTTATATATTCCTAAAACGACTCAGATATTCTGGATTGAAATTTATATATAAAAGGAAAACCATTCACATTAATTTGGTGCCCTATATAATGAAAGAGAATGATATGACATACCAATGATCCAATAATATATATATATATATATATATATATATATATATATATATATATAAATATATATTTATTAATTCTTATAAAAATATATATATATATATAAAATTAAAACTTCTAAAAGTTACAAAAATATCGCTGAATTTTATCTTGATGTTTTTCTTCAATATCAACTTTTGTTATCTAAATTTATTATAAATATATAAATTAAAAAAATTTCTTAAAATCTCATTTTTAAATTTCTAATTCAACCATTCTAAATCATGTTCATAAAATATTTTTATTTTTTTATCTTTCCCATAAACAATATATATATAGATAGGTAGAAAAAATAAAATTTATGTATGCGTAGGAAAATATGAATTCATTTTAATATGGCATATATTTCAATAATATATATATATATATATATATTAATATTATATATTTTATTTGTACCATATCCATCTTCAAATTTAAATGAATGTGGCTTTAAAATGTTAAATGATTTGTTATTGAAGAAAAAAATCAACGGTTTGGATATCACTAAATGATTTTCATTATTTTACCAAAATAGACTAAATCAGTAAATAATATCTATTTATAACTATAAAACAAAAAATTCAATCTCTCATTACACGCACATTTGAGATTTTTTAAAAATTTCATTTTTTCATTTTTATTTCATGATTAAAATGATATAAATTTTATTATTTGTAATAAGATTTCATTCAAATATTTTATAATTCTATATATATTATTTTTAATTATATTTAATAAATAACATATTATATTTAAATAAATTGAGTATCTATACGTGAATTATAAACTTAAATATGTCTTAATTATTTAACACATAAAAATTATAACACACAAATGTATAATATATAAAATATATACAATTTTTATTTAAGCAATAATCCTTAAATAAATACAAAAAGACAATTTAATTATATAGTTATTTATACATTTTAAATGGTCCCTAAATATTTACGTTTTTAAATGCCCATTAAGGTATTGTATTCCTGATCAATCAAAATTCGTAAATAATTATATAGGCCACACTACAACATGTTTGACATAAGACTCACTCTTACACCTTTCTGACCATAGCTCAATTAGATCTCATTTAAATATACATGGAGACCTACCGGACACTATTCGTAACATACTTGTTGACAACACTAATATAATAGCATCATCTATATGCAAAAATGGTTAAAATAATGGGAGCCTTATTAATAAAAGCAAAAAAAAAACAAAAAAACAACAATAATTAATAATATTAACTATAACCATGAACACAATATCTTGACCGTGTTTTAAAAAATGAAAACCTTTTATAAAACATACACACAACAAACTATTTCTTATTTAACAATTAAAATATTCAATCCTTGAAAATGGCTAAATGTATAGCTGAAAGCGCTCGGATAAAAAAAACATTTGGACAGTTTTTATATAATTTAAAATTTGAAAAGAAAAAATAGTTAGATCACATGAGAAATTGTATAAAAAACTAAATTAGATGCACCTTGTCTGTCGTATTCAATGATATGTGCATATATATATATATATATATATATATATATATATATATATATATTCATTTATTGCGGTTGTGATTGTTTGAAATTCTTAATTCGATCAGTTTTTATTCATGATATTTGTCACGCCAAACAATTTTTTGTGTTTTTTCAAAATTTTGATTCCTCTAAAATTTAGGAAATTTTAAAAATTTCTTTAGCGTTGATTTCTAATGTGTTTTTTATGAATAACCTTTAATTAATCTATGTGAACATTGAGGAATAACTTTTTCTTCATTATTCAATTTTTTTTTTTTTCTTTTTTTTTTCTACTTTTATATATATATATATATATATATATATATATATATATATATATAAAATATATATATATATATATTAAACTTTTGAAAAAAAAATTTTATTCTATATATATATATATATATATATATATATATATATATATATATATGATTTCTAAATAAGTCTGGAAGTTAATTTAAAATGATAAAAAAATAAATAATTTAATATTTTGAATTTAATAAAAATTTAAAGAAAAGCATTTCGCTTTTAAAACTTGTTTGATTGAAAATTTTTGATAAAACGATCCATTCAAAATTTTAAAAGAAATATATATATATATATATATATATATATATATATGAAAAAATATATTTTTAAGGTGTGCTATATTATATGCTATCTTTTGTATAAACTGCTTTTTATCAATTTTTGGATATATATAAAAATATAAATATAAAAGTGAAAATTAAAGTCAACACAAATTCAAAGGCGAGAATAAAAAAAAAACTATTTTAGTTAATCGTCAAATTTCAATTTTATATATATATATATAATATATATATATATATATAATATATATATTCTTGTGTGTTTATGTATATTTATATATATATATATATATATATATATATATATATATATATATATATTTCCTGTTATTTTTAAAAATTGTATTTTATTTCTCATTTATTTGATTTGTTATTCCAGTTCATTTTTTTATTTTAATTTCTATATATATATTAATATATAAATATTTATATAGATATATATTTTTTCCTTTGAAATAAATTATATATATATATATATATATATATATATATATATATATATATATATTTTTTAAAGAAAATTTAAATAATTTTTATCATTCTTTTATTACACCATTACTACTAATTAAACCATTGATATTGATATAATATATGATTATATTTTATTTCAAAATACATTCATTAAAATTAAGTGAATAATAATGAATCTGATTGGAATTGATCTTTATTCTTTTTTCTAAAAATTCTAATTTTTTTGAATTTCCATATAACTAGGATTTTAAAACATATTGATGATTCCAAATTTGATAAATATTAATAATAGATATATAATATATAGATAGATATTTAGATAGTTATTTTTATATATATTGAACAGATATGTAATAGATTTTTTAGATAAAATAGAAAGATAAATAGAAAAAGAAAATTAAATTTTTTTAAATGCAAATATTATTTGATAGATAGATAAAATAGATAAATTGCGAAAAATAATAGATAGATAGATATGAAAGACACGTTTTAAATTTTTATTTAAATTGATAGATAATTATATATTTTCTTATAAAATATAAAAATATATTTT